CGGTCCAACGACTTTTTGATACTATCCTCCTCCTTGCGAAGCTAAATGCCTGATGACAGCACTCGCCGTCCCGCTGGCTGAAAGGAGCGAAAGAATGATGGATGTGGTGGTAGTGGTGGTGGTGTGCGAGCGTGCCTGCCTGCGTGCCTTGTGATGGCATCGCGTTCTGCGGTCTCTGCACTCGGCAAAGTGTGAAAGTGTCAAGACGAGCATGAAAGTAAAAAGAGTGGAGGGCAGGCCAAGAGAAGGGCTCTTAATGGTGACATTTTGTCCATACTCCATCGACGAGACCAACCGCAGCGTATCACGGGCGTCGAGATGCCGGCTTTGGCTCCTCTCAAGTGGCTCCCGTCAATTTGCTGGGAAAAGGTCTCCGGTCTCTCCCAAAGCCATTGGAAAAGTACGGATACCAGTATTCCGTATGGATACCCAGGTCAGGTTGTAATGAAGACTGTGGGCGCATTCTTGTTGTCGTCGTCGGTTCGGTTCCTCATGTCTTCCTCTCTCTCTTGTCCCTTTCCCACTCCAACGCACGCAAATTCGCATCTGGCGTTCATACGGATACTGCGTTCAACGCTCGTTCGCTTGGGAGCGTCCCACCCTCTGGTATTCAAACAATATCAATGGCATCCTTGCGAAGAGGAGAGACCAGGGCAGGTTCGAAAGGTAGCGTGGGCGTTTGAAAGGGCAAAATGTAGGGGTAAGCCTTGGAGAAAGGCGCAAAGAACCAGAAAAGGTGGGCCCGAGGGCTGTACTGAATACCTTCCTCTCGTTCTTTCTTGCTGCCCGTCTGTCTCCTCCCACCCTTCCTTTGCCTGCGATGAAAATAAGCAACCACAAGCCAATGTCGATGAGAGCGCCAAGAAATACCTCTCTCAGACGGATCCTGAGCAACTTTGGAGAGAGAAAGAGCAGGGGCTCTCTCTGACGACGGGGGGGGGACTAAAGCGGGGACGTGAAAAAGAGGGAAAGGAAGGGTGGTACGGCGTGCGTTTAACCCTCCAAGTGGATACCAGGGCGTCTTTCCACGGCTACCACTGACGTAAGGCACGTCAATGTATTGATGCGTTTCGAGCAAGGGTGTGCAAGATTGAAACAACCTCCACAGTGCCCACCCGGACACTGCTGTCATCAACTGGCAGGGGCCAAGGCAAAGGGAAGGGGGGGCACCGGGGCCCTTTTGGGGGGGGGGGGGGGATTGTGCCCTTGGTTTGTTCGTCAGTGAGGAAGTCGATGTATCCGTTCCTAGTGTAGTGTACGGAGTATTGAAGTGGAGGGAAGCGAATGAGGAGGGGAAAGAGGAGCTGCCAATTCGATTCGACCGCAAGCCGACGCAAGAAGAAGTTGCCCCCATGCTTTCAACACTGCAAAGTACCTACACTACGTATCTCGAAATCAAAATTGCCAGCAGAAAGAAGCGTCAACTTTTGGGTCTGATACGTACCTGCAAGATTCGGAAGAAAGTCACACGGCCAGGAAGTGGGAAGCTGCACTTGCACTGCACGCCAGGATCTGTTCTGTCCTGCCCCATCCCACATGTACAACCAATCCCTTTGCTTTCCACGCCCATTATTGCATGCTGCGTACTGTACTATGTAGAGTACGGAGCACTTCATACCTGGAAGGGGGAGGGGGGAAGATGACAAGGGACCTGCTACAAGATGAGAGCGGGCGGTCTTGAATGAGAGGGTGCTGCTGGAACCACATCGCAACCGTGGGTTTGGGCAGCAAGAATGCATGGTCAAAGACAGAAGGGTTCGACATTGTCGTCATATCATGGCATCTCTGTTACGATGACGGCCCATGCCTGTAACCCATCATCATTCAACGCAACAAAGACACATGTGTGTTGCCGAGCAAAACAGAAAAGTGCTTTTGACCGTGTGGGCTCGGCGGGAACAACCAGCCTTACTGTTCCTGTGGGAATGTCAATTCCGGCAATAAGTGACAGACAAGCCACTGAGCCTCATATTAACATGGTGGCAGTCGCGCGTACGAAGCCGCATTCAATGTCATCGAGTCAACCAACCCGGTGCTACCAACCACGAAACAAGCAAACGGTATATACGTACAGCTCCGATAAGCTGCCGCCATAGCTACTGTTAATTCAAGTCAAGTGCTTGGCTCTTCCATCGTATGCGTTTCTCATATGATCCGCTCCCAAGGAACCGATCTCTGGTTGATGAATTGCACGTTGTTTTTCCAATGGCTTGCATGCAAACATGAGCCTGGATTCTTGATGACGAACTTTGTTCGCTCTCTAATATGAAGAAACACCTTCCGTGATGGATGTACGGAAATCGCGTCAATGATGACATTTCCCGTGGCTGCATCTAGGACACACAGAATATCCATACTGTTACATGTATGACGCGGGTGCCAGCTTACTCGTCTGGGATGAGGCAGTGAACCTCCCAAAGGTGGCTACGGTTCATGTGGCCTTGGGTATCCGTATCTGCCTGTGTCGAGTATGACGGGGGTTGACGGAGGTAAACCGCATGGGGGGTGGTAGTGTCGTCTGTGAGGCCAGTGGATTTTGACTGACGTAGCGTGCCTCTTTTAATCCTTTCCATAATCAGGATTATTTCCTTCTCGTGTTTGAGTTACGGCATGCTGGACGACGAGGACGAGAAACCATGATCTGGCAGCATTGGTTGGTCGGCCATCCAGCCGGCCAGGCATTGCTTGTCAGCATCCAAACGGCCCAGCAATTACATCAACGATCCGGGGTACCCTCGATCAACGCTGCCCCTCATCCATCCTACAATGGCGCAAGTGGAGATGTTGCCCTTTCTCCAGACGTTTCCCAGCGCACCACATGTCATCGTCTGCCTCGCGCAGATTTAGCTATTGCCCGTGGAAGAATAACCCAAAAGATCTCTTTTCTTCACGTGTTGAGCAGGAAAAGTGTCCGTCTCGCCGTGTCTGCAGGGTACCGTCCTCCACCCGAAGCTGCCGTTAAGGCCCCCATTGCTCTCCACACCAAGAATCTTTCATCTCTCAGGAAAATTCCATACCCAACTTGGACAGCATCCACCATGGGCTATTGCGAAGATGGAGATGCTTGGCAATATTTGAAGGTCTGGAAGGCTCTCTTTATAAATATCACCAAGAAATGATGGGTCGCAAACGCCTTCCGGACAAAAAAGTATGCTCAACATGTCGATGTATACTCCGTACACTCCCCCTGACTCTCAGTTTGTCGGTGTCCCTTACAACAAACATGGGATACGGAGATCGAGGCACACTCTGGAGTGTAAACACTCAAGGCCTGGCAGCAATGTCTCGCGGCTTCCCGGATCTTCGATGCCTGAGGTCCGAGTGAGGGTTGGCATTGCCTAGGAATATGTCCTCTATCCCCAATGCGATGCATAGCAGGGGCTGGCAGGATTAGCGTAGGTGTCCGCAGAGAGAGAGAGGGCAAAAAGTGAAAGCAAAAAAAAAGGAAAACAGAGGAACTCGGTACTTGATTGCACCAGAGACAAGATCCACACAATCTGCAAGGATATACAGGGGAGATGATCCACCGTTCCTTTTCAGGGAGATGACGGGTGATGGGAGTGGCGCCGCACTAGCAGCTTTTCCGCTGCAGCCAGACAACGACCGCTGCCTCTGCAAGTGCCACACACCAACACTTTGACGCCCTTGAATTCAACCGCTCTATTCTCACGATTCGCTCTTTGCCCATGGCCGGTGTCGCGACGCTAGCTAGGACTCTGAGAGTGCGGAACGTTCCTGCAACCCCGGTTGTTTCTCCGCCTCCCTAGCAGAGACCGGGGCAAACGGGATATTGAAGAGCGGTCACGAAGTGCCCATTGCCCGCAACAGACTAATCTCTGACACAATCCCCTAGTGTCATCTAATCGTGCTTAGTGCGCAAGCTGGACCCTGATGAGCATTTTGCCTCCTTGATTGCAACGGTTCAAGGCAGCCAATCATCATTGGCCTCTGTTTCAAAGACATGCCGAATTGAGATTCCTGTGTCAACAGCAACACTTCAAGTAACCTCCACGTTCTGAAGAGGCTTAGAAGCTAAGCAGAGGCTGCGCTGGCACGATGGTTGGCGCTTCGACGACTTCTTCGCGGCAATCAAAAGCGGCCCGATATCAGTTCAGAGGCGCGTGTCCATGTACTAGTGGAATCACCGTGGAACTGCCCAAAACTTTCGTGTGAGCTTCCATCTCGTGGCAAGGTCCGAAGACAAGAAGAAGTGGCAAATAACATCTGCCGTGATAGCCCAATAGAGATGGCTTCATTTGGCCCCCATCCAAAAACGGATTCCCTGGAGCCGATAACAAGAACCCATCTTCTTAATAACGGATAATTCTTTTTGAATTCTTCTGGATCACGACCCGGGTCCCTAGGGCCTAGGAGATGGCAGGTGGGGTCCTCAGCTCAAAGGCCATCTGTCGGCTGAAGACCCTGGCAGCCTGGGCAGAGCCAGGCCTGAAGTGTAAAGTTCTCTTCGGCAATAAAATCCCCGGACGATAGTCTCCAGTGTGTAGAGTTCCGCAGATGATCGGCCAGGAACAACCCTGCCTGATGGAACGCCGGTTTAGGAGACTGGCCCAATAAACCTTTCAGCAACAGCCGACAGACAAGGAATTGTTGGATGAGGATGAGCCGTCTTTGGAGGACTCAACAGCCTTTGCTGGGTCAACTCTGCAGGTCCTTTCCCGAAGAAGATGATCAGATGGTGGTGTTTTCGGAATGAGCGAAATGGGATATGCGGAACATGGAGAGTTGCGACAAGGTTCTCGAGATTGCCCCCAGCGTTCATCTCAAATCAAAGCCTCACTATGCCCTATTCGAAAGGATGGCAATTGGCGGTAACCTCGAAAGAGACAGTTGAAACACGCTAGACATGGGAGGTCCATGCCCAAAATGTTGATAGCAGCAACGTTAAGGTCGCCGATGAGCCCGGGGACCCAGGTGAGTGAACAGACTTCGAAGTCTGAGAACGTGCCAACCAGCCAACGTAGCGGAGACTGACAAGCACCTCAGGCGCTGATCCAGCAGTTTTTGAAATGGCTTCGTCGATGGAGTGGGATCTCGACATGATGATTTCTTGTCGTTGAGAGTGGGACATGCTGGTTGGGAAAAGCTTCCATGGCAGGCAACCCGACGAGACCCGGCTCCATCAGCTCAAGGGGAGCGAACGCGTCCTCTCCACATGCAGAACCCGATGGTAGGTGGCGACGACAGCCGGCTATCCATCCGTACTCCGTACACGAGAAAGCCGCGCTCGTCCCTTGACCGAGCAATGAGTCTATTGGAAAACGGCGCGACGGCTCGGTGAGCCACGGGATGATTAAGCCTGGCCCCCAAAGCTTCTGGCAGTCAACGGCATTGAGTAGGGCCGAACGCACAGGAGAATTCATGGAGCCGTCAATGAGGTGCAGTTGAGCGTGGAGTGCCACCTGATCCAGATACCCGAGATGATGACGGCGCCGATCACCGCCCAGAGTCCGGCGGCGGAACGGCACCTGACTGATCTTCTCTCCCAAAACAACGACAGGGTCGCATTGAAGGAAACATTCTCTGTCGGCCGGAATCTGTAGGCAATCTGTCATATTACCGTCCAAGCGGATGAGCGGGCTGCGGGCGGCCGGGCTTGTGCGGAATCAGAGTGGATGTTTGCAACCTGCCAAAGTCGGTGATGGTCAATAGTGAGGGCACGACCCACAGCGCCTCGGGTGCAACGTTGGTGGTGGATTAAAGTTCGAGAGGGAAAAAATGCAATGTCGAGGACGGGGTTGAATAGGGTTGCCTAGTGTAAGGCCAGGTGGGATTCGACGATAATGGATGGCAGTGCAGGCACATCGCGGCAGCTGAGTACGAGAAACTCATCAAAAGCACCCTTGGCGATAGTTGTTATGAAAGGAGTGCGTCTATGTAAAGGGGTGCGCATTGGCTGCCGTCTGAGTGTGCACTGCGAGCGAGAGCGGAGGAGACGGGAGAGCATAGCGATCAAGCAGCCTACCCCTTGCTGATTGAATTGACCAGGGAATGTCTCAGAATCGACATGGATTCCCCAAAGGCGGGTCTTCTTGTCTCTCCAAAGCAATCAAGCAATCCAGAGAGACTCCAGACAGCTCCCTTGGCATTGAACTGTATGGAGACGCTATACTGGAATTGACAGTAGCGCATTGTATCATCCTAGCTCTTCTGCAGCCCACAGCGGGGAACGTCGATCATGACCGTTTTCTGTTGTCCTGCAGACGGCCCAGCCGTGCCAGCCTCACTTTGTCAAGGTTCCTGTGCCTGGGGTGCCTGAAGCGCAGAGTACCATCGTGTTGTTTCTTGTCTCTGGGCTCCTAGAGTTGATCGAGGAGGCTTAATTAGAGCGAGGAAGAGCCGTGAGGCGCGCCAGTGGTGAGAAATGGTAATAGAAACATGACAGGATGCGCGCTGGCCGTTGGCCGCTTGGTCGTTTCTCTTGTTCCCCAAGGCTCGATTATCTAGGGTCCGGGACGGCAGCGAAGCCCTAGCTGAAGATTTTAGCGGCTAGGCGTGTCCTGCGTGCTGCTACACTACAGACATACCTGTGGGGGGAGGAGGGAGGCCTTGCATATCCGTACGGATACTGCTGTTGTTATTGAGAAATGAGGTGCTGTTGGTGACTTGATGTTGCTGCTCGAAGCCATGCAATTCGATAACCATGTGAACAGGCATTGATTTGGATTTCTATGTGGGGCCATCAGAGCGTCGTCGCCAGATAGATGGCCAGCAGTGGGTTGGCACATGGTTTCTCGAAGTCGAAATTTCCTGTTCTCGCATTTTGCGGGTGTGCGGTTGCATTGGAAATAATGGAGCAGCCATTTTGACGATGCTAAGCGGCATCTGTCTGAGAGCCAGCGTGTCCAGGATGCGCAGGATGCGAGATGGAGCCGCTGAACTACCAGCACTCTCTCGCGCTCAGGTATCATGTAAGGTTTTTTTTTGTAGTGTTGGAAGCCGGCTCGAAATAGCTATGGAAGGCCGGGGAGAGATGGAGCGATTGATCCCGTCCCATCCTGTCATGTCTCTCTCGTGTTCGGCGGTGTGCTACCCGTGGTCCGTTCCTGAAAAAAGGGGGGAAAGGCAAAACCGAGAGGCCTTCAGACGTGTTGTAGTCAACGTCGGAAGCTCGGTTGTATGTTGTGTGAGCTTCTCAGCTTCTGAAGATGGTGGAGCGAATGACAGGTGACGCGCGTATCCTGTTGCAGACGACTTGTGGCTGACAGCCAAACGCCCTGAGCAACGCCTACCGAGACGGGACGAACGTCTCCCTGGCAGCATCGGAATGTTCGTGTTGATCCCGTAGCTCCAGTTTAATGCCATGGAAGGACATGGCCGTAAGAGCAGAGGGAAAGGCCAAAGCCCAAATGCCATGGCAGAGGCCAAAGAGGCAGGGCCGCGAGCCATGTAGCTGCATCTTCTAATGGCGGGATTGCTGGAGCCGGCAAGCCTTGTGCCAGCACGCGAGTAACGGTGCGAATCGGTCAGGACAAGAACAGAATAGCATGGAGCTACTAGGCGGCGGCGTCATGCTGAGGTCAAGGCGATGTGGACTGACTAGCGCCGAGAAAGGGGATAGTTCGAAGGAAATGTCCACCTTGGTCAAAGCCGCGAACGAGGAACTTCGGAGGGGAACAAGAAAGTGAAGTCAGCGCTGGACAGCATCGACGATGAAGTACATGGTGAGCGTGTGGATGCCATCATTGCTCAGACTTGTTGTGGATGGAACTCGAAAGGCAGGGTATTGTTGACAGGACATAGTCATGTAATCTTGATCCGATGTGGTCGACTCGCGCTGAGGGGTGAGGGTTTGGGTTTGACCTGGTAGGAGACAGACGTTGGCGTTAAGAAAGGCAAATGTGGTCTTTCGCTTTCTCAGTGGTGAGGTTGGATGACATGAGGTCAGTGTTGTCAAAATCGGACGGATGTTGTCGAGATGATTCCTAATTAATTACCTAAGGTAAGGTAAGGCGCGAGAGGAAGGCGAGGCTTCCGGGCGGCTGCCCTGAACAGTTGTGCACTCATTCCAGTCGGGTGATTTCATTCTCAATTGCTTCCTTCCTTACCGTGAAATCAGGGCAGCTATATTCTATTCTGAAGGCAGGTATCCGTACCTACCTTACTGTGTAGGCAAAGCATTGAATAAGGCACGCTTCTTCCCTTGGTACCAGACATCTGACACCTCTTAGCGTACATACACATTTGATGTCGAGGCAGGTGTATGCGTACGGAGCTCTCGGTACTCGGTAGGGCTGGCTGTGCTTGCCGCATCTTCACGCCCCCAAACATGGGGGAAACCGAGCGTGGAAGGGGCATCGTGGGATATGTTTCGAAACACTCAATGACGTAAACGCCCCTTGCGAGCCTGCTTTCGCCTACCTCTTATTCCGAAACAGCAAGAGGTCACCTTGCGATCTTTCCCCTTTTCCCAATTAATTATCTACCGTGCTACATCACCCTTTCAACCTTCCACCGATTCCACCTTCCGTCTGATATGTGCACAGGCAGGCACGTAGGTATGCATACCTACTTAGGTCATCTCCATGTAAGGTACCTACAAAAGTAACAAAAGTACGGATACCCCCCTCTTTCTCACCTTGAGTAAAATGGAAAGCAGGATGCATACCGAATAGGAACGCCCCAGCTTGTGTACCGCGAGTTTATTAACTTTTCTTTCCCCGGAATTGTTTCGTCCCAGCAATTCAGATCATCCCCGTAACAACTTTTCGACTGTCATTTGAGAGATATCGACCGAAACGCACTTCCGCCTTCACATTTGCATTTGCGGATGCACCGGCCTGCGCAGCCAGCCCCGTGCCCGGCGTTATCGCACACAGCTGTTGCGGTTTGCCACTCTGATTTTCCGGGTCGGTCCTTGAGGATGAGGCTTTCCAGACACAAATTTGATTCGGACAAGGCCTTCCCAATACAACGACGCGCAACCCCCGCGCCAACGCTCCCTCCATACCTTCCTTGTCCACACTCATCCTCCCTTACAGATGCTTCAGATCTGGGATTCAGCAGGAAACTCACAATATCCTGCCATCCCTCTCGTCCTTGCTATACAGATACCTCCGTGCCTCCATAGCTGTCAGGTGCTGTTCGAGTCACTCTCAACACCACTCAACAGTCATGGCCTGCCAAGCTTGACTTACTCGCTCAGTCATGGAGACGGCACAGTTGCTCCGTCATCTTCCCTGCAACTTGCAAGCTTGCGAGAACTTACTCCGTCGTTCCGAACGTCCCCCGGCGCCAAACCGTTTGCTAGTGGAATGCGCTGACCAAAGTATTCCAATGCGCCAACCTGCACCTTGCGCAGCCCTGCGCTTTTGGCGCAAACTTTGTTCCCAGAAGTGCCTGCTGAGCATTTGCATATGCACTAATCAGCAATCCCGCGGTAAATCCGCCGCTGCCTTCACCGAACTTGAATGGTCACGGAGCACGCTGGCGGCCTGCCTGCCAGTGCAGCAGTGCCTGCTTCTTGCGGCTTGGTAAATAAAATGGGGTGGAGCAGTCTGGGGAAGCTTTCGGGCGATGTTGAATCCTCGTGGGAGAAGGGACGACAGTACGATGACAACGATGATCTATGACGATCATGGAGATCTCGCACATGAGACGACACGAGGACGATGTCGATATGATTTAGGGACGAAACGCCAGCTAACGATATGTCTTCTTCTGTGCTGTCGAACACGGTCGAAACCATGCTGTTGCTTGTGAGCATGCCCATTCTCGGATAGGTCCTGAAAACCGCCACTTCCCCCCTCCCCTCTCCCTTGGATCGAAAGTTCACAACGGCGCGTCGGCACTACGACCTCAGTATCTGTATCTGTGACGACTCTTTTCTAATCAGATGAGACATGGCGCAGTGGTCTGGTTGAATGCGTACCGCATACCTTAAACACGCCTTGCCTTCCATTCCCTTGGTCTAGTGCTTCGATAGAGGCGGCATGTAAATGAGGCAAGATTGTCTAGGGAATCCGAGTCTCATCGGCTTTCCGCTGTGGCTGTCTCGAACATGTCTTTCCATATAGAGTCCCGCTATGCCCGCCTCAAGATTCGCCCATTCCTCCTGCAAAGAGCCCCTGTCCTGCCAGTGAATTTGGCCGAGCTCACCGAGACAGTGCTTACTGTTTTAGTCTCGGTCGTTATCCACGTTATCTAGAGATGAAGACGGCGCCGCGGGACTTGAAAAAATTCCCGGGGGTGAAATGTCGATCGTTGCTTAAGAGGAATACCAATATGGAGTTTGGGGGACTGAAGTGTACACTAGGAACGCCTCAAGTCAGCCCAGACTATGGCCGTCTAGCCTCAACTCAGTTTACCCAGTTGACGCAGGCGCGCAGATCCCCCGCAGTGTCCCTTTGCGCGAGAGGCAACGCTGACGCCGTCGCGACCGTTTCCTTTGCCAGTGAGGCTTGAGAACACACGTAGACGCGGTCTGGAGAAAAAGGAAGCAAAGATGGGGCGCCTTTTGGTAGTGAGCCGAGTGTGAGACGGCGCGGATGTCCGCAAACCGCTGGACGAAAACAACGGAATGTCTCAGGAGCCAGGAAAGCCGCTCGCTTGTGCG